CCTAAGCCCCCTCCTGGAGTTCCTACCCCTCGCACATCCCAACTATGTAACCCAGACCTGAGCTCCCCTCCTATACTCAAATTCCCTCCCAGAGCTTGCCCCACCTCCTGCACCCAACCCTTTGTCCCAGCCCAGGGAAAGTGAGTGAGTGAGGGAGGGAGAAGGAATGATGGGGGTTGGGCTGGAGTGAGCGAGAGGCAGGGCTTCAGGGAGGGGGCAGGGCAGGAATCAAGGCAAGGGTGTTTGGTTCTGTGCAATTAGAAAGTTGGCAACCCCTACAAATCAGGTGAAGGAGGAATATCCAGACTGACATCTCAGCCCTGGGCTAAAAGTGCAGCGGGAAGGTGCCCTAATCTAGTAGACCAGCTGTGTGCATGCCTGGTGTGAAGCTGCAGTGTGCTTGCACTGAGCCTGATAGGGAACTTAAATTACAAAAATTGTAGGTACTTGCAGACTTTGGGGACAGAGGCATCAGGCCTTTATGAATTTTAGTGGGGCCTAATTCTTGAACACCTATGTCCTTTAGCAGCTCCAGCCCAAAGAGTTTTGCTACTGTTACCAGGAGGAGTGCCAGGTGTCTGGTATTGAACTGGACAGTTCGGTATTTTTGCTTCCTGTCCGGTAAAAGAATTCAGAAAATACCGGACACCTAAAATGTCCGGTACTTTCTTATTTTTTCCTGGTCAGGTGGCAAAAATCCTGGGCTGTCCGGCTCAATATGGAGGCAAGCCTGGCAACTCTAGTGCTTACCTGGTTCCGCAAGGGAGCTGTCCGGCCCCGCGCAGGGAGGCAAGATGGCAGGTGGCTGCCGGCAGCCTGTTAGGGCCACAAAGCTTCACCACACGTTTCTTAAAGGGCCGTGCTGTTTTTTGGGGGGGTTGGTTTTTTTTGTTTAACAACTTTTGGAGTCTTTTTTTTTTCTGTATTTTTTCTGAAACCATCCTAGTACCAGCTGTGCTGGAATAGCCAAAGATAAAGTAGTTCTCTACAGCTAGCTCACCTAAAGGACACTGAGAATTTTTGTTATATTGAAAAAGATTGGGAGATGTATACGTGTCTGTAAAGTTTGTTCTAAGCAGATTTGGAGTGTATGGGCTCCCTCTGGTGCCTGACTTAAAATATACTTTCTGAAGAAATATTTGCATTTGAAAGGCTGAGTCCATTTTTCACCCAAACTCCTTATTCCTAAATCAAGCTTTTTGAGAGTGAGATTTGTAGGCACCTAGATAAGTGGTCTGATTGATAAATGTGCTGAGCACTCAAACAGAAAATTAGTGAGGAGGGGAAACAGGAAAGGTGAAGGCAGGAGTACAAATACCTTAAATGTCTTACAGGTACTGTGCTATCACAACCCTCCGTTGGGGTGGGGAGAGCTCAGGGCTGGGGCGGGTTGCGATAGAACAGTACCTGTAAGAAACTGAAGTGTGGATGGAATACAGGGGGGTCAGGGCCGAAGGGTTGGGGTGTGTGTGGATGTGGGGGAGCTCAGGTCAGGGGGGCTGAGGGGTGAGGGAGATTTAGGTCAGAGGGGTATGTGGGGGTGCAGAATCAGGATGGGGGTGCAGGAGTCAGGGCAAAGGGTGGGGGTGTTCAGGGCAGAGAATTGTGGGGGAATTGGGGGAGCTTGGGGCAAGGAGTGCGGCCACTGCACTGCCTGGCTGCTGGATCCCTGGGACTGACCAGGGCAGTAGGGATTGTAGTGCCTGGCCGCTGGATTCCCAGGGTTTGGGGTATGTGGGGGTGCAGAATCAGGATGGGGGTGCAGGAGTCAGGGCAAAGGGTGGGGGTGTTCAGGGCAGAGAATTGTGGGGGAATTGGGGGAGCTTGGGGCAAGGAGTGCGGCCACTGCACTGCCTGGCTGCTGGATCCCTGGGACTGACCAGGGCAGTAGGGATTGTAGTGCCTGGCCGCTGGATTCCCAGGGTTTGCCAATTCCAGCCACACTTCAACCCAAGCACCGGGCCCGGAATGTGGGTGTGCTATGGCCACACTGCCTAGGGTGTAGCAATGCAAGCCATTTTTGTCATTATACCAGTAGTATTCAGAATCCCACCCCCAGCCAGGTAGTCTCTTACCAGCGCACCACAGCGGAGGCACACCGGCTTACTTCACCTTTGAGAGAAGGAAAACTGTGCATTTCAAAAATTGCAATGTGGAGAAAATAGCTCAAATTAAACAAGCTCTGAGCAACACTTCCTTGGCAACTATCAAATCTTTTGTATCATGGATGAAGTGCTTCTAACTTGGCACTTGGCATACCACTTACCAGTACTTCTTCTTGTCTACCTAGTCCCTGCCTTTTCCAGCCCAATCCTTCCTGCGACATGCCCAGGCCTGCTAAAAGACTACCTTAGCTCTTTTCCAGTTCATCAGGCCATTCTGTTTCCCGAGAATTTTTTTAAAAGTGCAGAATAATTTGTTTCTGTTTCTTTGCTGCATCAGAGTTCTGGGAGGGTTATTAATGCTATCTGGAAAACTGATTCCTGAAAACAAAAGCAAAAGGAGTCAGGACTCCTATAGTCAAGTTCAGAAATGCGTTTAAGTCAAGAAAAAGAATAAGCTGATATGTCCTCAGTGACCCCCTAAAACATGTAAGTTACACCCAGTTAGACTTTATATAGACTCTCCTTCACTTGTTTTTTTTTTACTCATATCCACTTACCGAGGTTTAACTGGAACTCTCTGCTCCTTACACATTGTGCATAGTTTGGTCCTCAGAATATGAGTCTCAGAAAGCCTAAAAATACGTCTACATTGGAGTTGAAAGGTGTGACTCAGTTTGTGTTGCCATACCCACGTTAGTGCTGCTTGAGTTAGTGCCTAAAAGTAGCAGTGTGCTTGTGGCAACATAGCTGGTAGTGCGTGGTAGTTGCCTGAATATATATGCAGAAGGCAGAGTGAGATTACACTCAGAGGGCACATCTAGACTACGTTTAAATTTCGAACGAGGATATGCAAATTCGGTGGGAATTTGCATATCTTCTTCTGATCGCTTTTTCAAAAGCGGGTCTTTCGAAAGTGAAAGTAGTCTGGATGCATTTTTTTCAGAAAAAAACACCCTTTTTTTGAAAAACTGCATAAACCTTTTTTTGGAAAAAAAAATTTCGAAATGTAAATGTAGTCTAGACGTGGCCAGAGTGGCTGGGCCCAGCACCTGCCAGTGCCACTGCAGATAAATACAGACATGGATGGCGGGTGAACCGCTGGCTCATCCCCTGGCCCGAAGACACTGCTCCTTCCATGTTCATTGGAGCCCAACCCCATTCCCACTACAGCAGATGCTGGCCCCTCCTCTGTGGTAGTGACCCCAGTCTTCCTTGGTCCTGGAGCTCTGGTGAGCCAGACAGAATGGCTACAGTTTGCCTGGCTCTGGATAGCTGGACAGCATGGCTGCAGCCTCCCGCAGCCCTACGGCATGAGTGAGGAGAGCTGGGAGGTGCAGCCCCAGCCACTTTGGGTCAACCCCTAACCTTGAGGTCCCCATTCCGGCAGCCAACCTACCAGCCCCAATGCTGGGTGGCCAGAATGTTTCCAGTGCTGAGAAGACAGGCAGCACAGAGCGACCTTCAGCCTGCCTGCCCCATCCTCTACCATGGGAACAGCCAGCAGGAGGGGCCTGGACTCAGGTGGAGTATGGGAGGGGCTATGTGAAGGAGTTTGGGAAGGCAATGCCTTCCCCTGCCTACAATACCTGTCACCCAAGAGGGCAGAGCTAGCATGGATACATCTGTGGGAGCTGAGAATCACACTTTCCAGTGTACTCTAAGAATGTCTGGTTTGGTGTAACTCACACTGCAAGGGTCAGGAGGTACGTAGCAAGTTCTACCCCTGTGTATAATAAAACAGCCCCCATTCTAGTTCAGCTTACACCCTGGCCTTAATACCTTAATTGGATCCATGGCATGTAAACTAGATCAGCTTAGCTTCCCTGCCCTTACCGGTGAAAGCTGACACAATGGGCTGGAAAGCCTGGGCCTCATTTCTTTTTGGTCTTGCCTTAGATTAGGGCTCAATTTTAAACTGATTTATGAGCCTATAGAGGGGATAAGAGGCTGTGCATCCCCTTCTCTCTTGCATGAGTTTGCATTGCAGATTACATAATATACAGTGAACAGTCACCACCAGGTTGCTACTCCACAGCCAGCACAGGTGGGCAGGGCATGGGCTGGCAAGGGCAGGGAGCCAGCAAAACCAAGGCTCTGCTCCCTCGGTACACTGGTCAACACAACTGAGTTGATCCATCACCTTGGGGAACATAAGTGCCTGGGGAGAAGGAACCACCAATGTTTCTTCCCCTGTGATATTGCGACAGTTGGTGAGTGAGAGCTCGGGCCTTGCTGGGCTCTTGAGGCAGTGCAGCTAAGTGCAGGGCAGACTGGAGGGGGCCAATCCAACTGCTAGGGAGTTCAGCACTTCTCAGTGGAACAGCGCCCACACACATGGTGGCTACGTCTACACTGGCATGATTTTCCGGAAATGCTTTTAATGGAAAAGTTTTCCGTTAAAAGTATTTTCGGAAAAAGTGCATCTAGATTGGCAGGATGCTTTTCCGGAAAAGCACTTTTTGCGGAAAAGCGTCCGTGCCAATCTAGATGCACTTTTCCGCAAAAAAGCCCAGATCGTCATTTTCGTGATCGGTGCTTTTTTGCGGAAAAGAAATCTCTGCTGTCTACACTAGCCCTTTTCCGGAACAGTTTTTCGGAAAAAGACTTTTGCGCGAACGGGCGCAGCATAGTTTTTCCGGAAAAGCACTGATGATTTTATGTGAGATCGTCAGTGCTTTTCCGGAAATTCAAGTGGCCAGTATAGACAGCTGGCAAGTTATTCCAGAAAAGCGGCTGATTTTCTGGAATAACTGGCCAGTGTAGACTCAGCCGGTTTGTGTATTTACTGGCATTCCCTACTTCTAAACTGATCCAATCTTGGTGATTTAAAAAAAAAATGTTGGATGCTGTTGGAACCAGAAAGGTGCTTATGTGCGTGTGTAATTGAACTGACAGGTCCTTCACACTTTTACTGATGCCATCTTTGATGAGTGGATGAAACAATTTAACCCCTCTGACAATGCCTGGCCTTTGGAGCTGGCCCCTATTGGGCACAACAGGATGTACAACATGGTCCCTTTCTTCCCACCTGTGACCAATGCTCAACTCTTCTTAGCTGCAGAACAGCTCGGCTACAATTATGCCATTGACCTACCAGGTAAGTAACAGACATGCTAAAGGAATTGCAGAGGAAGAGACTGGGCCACTCAAGTTTTCATATAAAGGTCTTTTGATATCTGCGTATTCAGAGCAACATTTTCATAAGCACCCATATCACATTTTTCTAAAAGGGCTTAGAGAACCAAGGTGCCCAAGTTTCCCTGAAAGTCAGCAGCGGGAGAAGATGGCAGTAACTGACGCCAACAATATACGGCGTAACATTTTCAAAAATGCTTAAGAGACTTAGAAACCTAAATGCCCATTTTCAAAAGCCACTTAGGCATGTCAGTGTTGTGAAAACCCACCTCAAACTTCCCTCAACCCCTCCCCCCCAAACAATAGCAGAAGGTTTCAGAGCATGGGTCAGGCTCCCACCAGGATACAACTAGCAGGGTAGCTCTTTGGGCTTAGGCTGAAGCCCAGATTCTGAATCCTGGGGAGTTGTGAAGGTCTTTGAGGCTGGACTCCAGCCCAAGGCCAATGTCTGTCCTGCTAGTTTTAACCCCACAGCACAGCCGTTCAAGGCTGAGTCATTTGACCCAGGTTCTGAGAGGATGCTGCAGATCTCTTTTTGCTGTGTAGACATACTCTCAGGCTTCTTAGTAACTGAGATGCTTTTGAATATTTTACCCCAAATAAGGGAAAGTGAAAAGACCAAGTACAGATGTTCTGTCCTGTGGGGTTGACATGGGCTGAATGTCAAGAATGTACCATGCATGGTCTAGCACTTCACTCTAGGGAGCACTGCTGAGATCCGTCATTTTTCCTTATTTCTTACAGCTGCCTAAATAAATAAAATCCTGTCCTTGAAACTTACAAATTGTGCATAGGTAGGCTTTTAAACTCTGTCCCTTTTTCCATTGCCCTTCCTTTCTCATTCCCTTCATTTGTTACACTTGTGTCTTGAGTCTGATATTAAGTTAGATTATAAACTCTTGCAGCCAGGATTGTGTTTTACTGTATGGCTGCACACTGCCTACACAAGGGAGCCCTGATCCTGACTAGGGACATTGGGTGCTAAAGTGATAATAATAGTCCCATGTATGTTAAAGCCGAGTCTAATATTTGCTCCTCCTCCTTTGTGATTTTAGTAACAAAGTTATTCCCGATCTATAACTCAGATACTGTTTCTGTATTTACAGAGTCACTTGAAGAAACTCGTGCTTGGACTATTATGGTTGGATCCACGATTGGAGGAGCACTGATAGCTTTAGTTGTACTAATTATGCTGCTTGCACTCTTTCAGCACAGAAGATACAGAAAAGGTTTTGAACCGTTGATAAATGCAAAGTTCAGCAAAAAAAATTATACAGAAGAGGCCTAGTGCTGTACATTGCTTCATCAGATTGACTTGTAGGAAACTAACCTGATTAGTTGTTCAGCTCTTAGCCAAGTGCTGAACTAATAACTTGACACACACTCCTTGGCTGTGTCTAGACTGGCAAGTTTTTCTGCAAAATCATTTGATTTTGCGGAAAAACTTGCCAGCTGTCTACACTGGCCACTTGAATTTCCGCAAGAACACTGACGATCTCATGTAAGATTGTCAGTGTTCTTGCGGAAATACTATGCTGCTCCCGTTCGGGCAAAAGGCTTTTTCCGAAAGACTTTTGCGCAAAAGGGCCAGTGTAGACAGCACAGTACTGTTTTCTGCAAAAAAGCCCCGATCGCGAAAATGGCGCGTCTAAATTGGCCACGATGCTTTTGCAGAAAAGCATCCTGCCAATCTAGACGTGCTTTTCCGAACATGCTTTTAACGGAAAACTTTTCCGTTAAAAGCATTTTCGGAAAATCATGCCAGTGTAGATGTAGCCCTTTGCTAAACAACTAGCTACATTGTCTTCAGTCTAAATGGCCTTTTCCTGTTATGTGGGATCAACAGTATCATGACACATTTTGACACAACACATGAGATACTTTGCTTTACACGTGTGCGTTTATGCACACACATGCACAGCCTAAGACAGGCCAGAGTTCTCCTGTTGCTGGAGATTGCAGTTTGACTCAGCTTTGGATCACATCATCTGAGAATCCTATGGACAGAGAAAATAAAAACATCTTGTGAGAAAGACAAATGCAATTTTGTTTCCTAAATGTGTTTCTGAACGAATAGTCCTGTGATAGGCAGAATTTAATTGACTATATATCTTTGGATGGTAGATTTCAGTATATACCGGCAGGGCCAGCTCACAACATTTTGGCACCTGAGGCGGGGAGCTCAAATGATGTCCCAATGCTCCCTCGCTTGGGCCAAAACTTTGAAAGGTCTCTTGTGTCCTCCTTCCTCCAGCACAGCACTCCACCATCGCTGTGCATCTAGAGCAGAGAGAATACATATGCACCAGCAGCAGACACAGTTTTCTACACTCTGGGTCCTAGTGGTGCCCCCCCACAGTCTGGCACCTGAGGCAGCCGCCTCAGTTCGCCTCATGGGAGGGCTGGCCCTGTATACAGGCACAAAACAAGATTGCATGTAAGTGATGTTGCTTTAAAAAAAAGGACTCAAATATTTCATGTATGCTTCTGCAGATGCTCTTCTGGGGGTGGGACTGGATGCAATATTGTAAGGAACATGTGGGGACAGTATAAGACACAGAATAAGCCCTTAACTAACTTTGCATAGGAACTAAATAAGCACCAGGAAACTCCCTAATTCAAATTCACCATGTCCAGTTAAAAATAATGAGCAGGAATTCATTTTTACCTAAGCAGACACTCCTATGAAAGTTCAGTATCAGGAGCCTGTGGCAGAGACTGAATTCTGCACCTGCCATTCTCCACATGGAACTTCTCAGACTATGCTGAGCAAAGAGGAGTGTGTGTGTGTGTAGTGTTAGACACAGCCGAAGTTGTTGAGGAGTGCTGGTAATTGTGCGGAGATGGCAGTGTGTTGAGTACCAGAGAAGGAAGTGTGAATGTGTATTTGCATATGGAGGGCAGAAATGAAATCATAGATACGTAGAACCCCATGTGGTCCTTCCCAAATGTCCTCAACAAAACCTTTAAGGCCAATTCCAGTAGACAGAGGCTACACACGTGTTGATTTCTAGAAGAATTAATCTCTGTTTTCACTATTGGAATAAATATTTAGTATATATTGATATAACTGTAACTTTAAAGCATACTACATCACGGAAGAGGTATGGAAATCTTGTTAAACACTTAGTTTTTGGAATAAATATTTAGTATATATTGATAGTGGTAATATAACTGTAACTGTAAAGCATACTAAAACACGGAAGAGGTATAGAAATCTTGTTAAACACTTAGTTTCCCTTGCATACATATGGCCCTATTGTAATTTGTGCTTGATGCAAAGCTTGTTCTGAAAATCCTGGCTTTGAGGATGTAGGAATGTTGTATATGGTACATTAAATATATGTTGCTACATGCAATGAATCATATTTTAAAGTATATCTCTTTGGCTCTCCAATAGCTCTCCATGCTCTGTACCTCATGCTTACTATTACACTTTTCTTAATAAGTATATACAGCATTCATCCAATTTTTATTGAAAGTTCTAATGCACAGGAGTGTCTGTAGTAAAAAATTACCAAGTTGTGAGTAGATTATTTCTTACTTGTCTCTTCATCATTTAACACGAGGTACAATTACCTTCACAAACAGGGCAAAGGTACACTGATGCTAAAATGAGAGTTGTGAATCATCCACTTGTAGCTTAGATTTACACTCCATTTCTCTGTAAGGACCTCTTCCTGCTTTGGTTTTAAATTCCTGGTGTATGGAATGGGGTTGAAGTATGGATTCCACACCATATGCAATCATCAGTACTAGCACAAATATGTGAGTAACAAATCTAGCTGCTGTGGACTCCAAAAGAATAGTGAACATAAAACTCCAGCAACCAATCAACCTACTTTTTGTGGAAACTAAATACCCAGGAGTGGAGAACATGAAGAACAACATTTCTTCCGTGTCAGCGAAAGCATTTTTTGGGGTGAAGTACTTTTTTCTGTCTTCTTCCTGTTCAATACTTGGGGTTGAATTCTGGCTGGTGCTGTACATAAGCCACCAACAGAAAACCTAACATCAAAAATTCAGTTTGGAATCTGGCTACTTCTAGGCTGTGTCTAGACTGGCAAGTTTTTCCGCAAAAGCAGCTGCTTTTGCAAAAAAACTTGCCAGCTGTCTACACTGGCCACTTGAATTTCCACAAGAACACTGACGATCTCATATAAGATTGTCAGTGTTCTTGCGGAAATACTATGCTGCTCCCATTCGGGCAAAAGTCCTTTTGCGCAAAAGGGCCAGTGTAGACAGCTCAGATTTGTTTTGCGCAAAAAAGCCCCGATCGCAAAAATGGCGATTGGGGCTTTTTTGCGCAAAAGCGCATCTAGATTGGCACGGACGCTTTTCCGCAAAAAGTGCAATCTAGACACTCTTTTCCACAAATGCTTTTAACGGAAAACTTTTCTGTTAAAAGCATTTGTGGAAAATCATGCCAGTCTAGACATAGCCCTAGTGTGGTGCCTCTGAAATATGGCAAAGAGACTATCTAGCCTATCACAGGAACATTCTGGGGCACAGCTTAAGTGTGAATGGGCTGGTCAATGTGTTTTATGTACACACACACCCAATCTGGCAATGATCTATATACACAGCCGCTCACCCTAATTATTCCCATTCTTAGTGAGATTTTACCCCAAATGGGGGAGGTTAATGCCATCACCCTTTCTTGAGGTTTTCTACTGTATGAGGAACAACTTTAATTGAGGCTGAATATTTCGCAGAAGCTCTGACTTCATAGGAGATTGCCGAAGTGCCCACAGTGAATGAGTGTGTTTACTGGCTACTTTCAACTTTTAGCCAAGATCACCCAGTTCTTAAGCTGTGAATTTGCTCCCCACAGGTCCTTCAGCCATGGGAGATGGCAGTCTATTTATAGCACCACCGTTGCATCCCACCAACTGCTTTTTTATCCCCACAGTTCTAGACTGGCAGAAGCCCCTGGGGCTGAGAATGCTGCCCACGATGGAATATGCTCCCTCCTGCCATCTGTGCAAGATGGGTTGCAAGACATCTGAGCAGCAATCTCACAATGGTGGTGCAATGGGGATTAAATGCCATTTCTCCTCCTGAATACAGGTGGTGCTGAGCACCCATCCAGCTTACAAAATAGTGCCTTCCCACTGCACTAGTTTGGTATGTTTTCTAATGGCACAAGCTGAAAAAATGCCACAAGAATTCATTCTGCTTTTCTTCCTAACAACCTATGGCTGGACTGAACAACAGTGATAGCATTCCGTTAGGTAGGGGGGTAAAAATGAGACACGCTTGAGAAGCTTTATAGTAGAGACCTTCACTAAGAGCAAGGGAGTAAATCCAGCATAGGTCTTGTGCTTGTTTGGTCCTTGCCTGTCTGCTGAGAGAACCCACAGAAATGGTGTTTTTGTGTCCTGGACCCAGTCTCCAAGGAGTGCAATTAATGCAGATGACTTAAGTTCTGTAATAAAAAGCACCCCCTATATAGCAATCAAATTTCAGTCCCTCTTTACCTCTGTCCTTGGTATCATAGTTGCAAATTTAAAGCTGTCCTTATTCTCACAGTTACTCATACTAATAGTGAAAGCACGGCATAATCTGCTGCACATAAAAGCACTACATGCCCTCTTGTGGCTTACTTGAAAACCACCTAGAGGCACTGTAAAATTGCCTGCTTCATTTTTTCTTTCAAGTAGTTTCTCAGTATAGCAGCAGAGGAAGGTTTGCAATGCAGTCGCTCTCAACCTTCCCAGGCTAATGTACCTCTTTCAGATGTCTGATTGTGTATCCTCAAATTACACCTCACTTAAAAACTACTTGCTTACAAAATCAGACATAAAAGTGTCACAAACACTATTGCTGAAACATTGCTTTCGTTCTCATTTTTACCATATAATTATACAATAAATGAATTGGAATATAAATATTGTACTTATGTTTCAGGGTATCATATGTAGCAAAACAGAAACAAGTCCGTGTATGAAATTTTTGTTTGTACTGACCAAACAAACACTGACTAGTGTTGTAAAACGAGACAGATAGCTAGATGAGCTCATGTACCCCCTGGAAGACCTCTGTGTATTCTCAGGGGTACACATACCGCTGACTGAGAACCACTTTTGTAAGGAACAGCATTGCATTTGGCTCAGTAACAGGGCTTCATTGGATTAAAAAATGTGGACAGAATCTACATTAAGCTCCTTTGGGAAGAAAGCTTTATTCATATGCAAATAAAAAAGTGATGTAGTGAGCCTCTAGCCATTTTGATTTTCATGTGTATTTTAAAGGGTTTAGCTTCATGGCCAGATCAAACTGTAAAAAGCAAGAAGAATGTTTTATGTGACAAGGCACAAATATTGGCAAATATCTATAGGCTTTTGTAGTTAATGATGGCATAATTGGCTTTCAGGTACAAGTGGCTAAATACTTTTGTGGGAAAGCTGATAGTGAATATGGAAGCTCTTGAAAGAATTTGTGAGAACTTGACTGGTAAATTAAACCCTG